ATATATGTATCAGCTTCGTTTCAAATGGAAAAATAACATTTTCTTTAGCAATTTAATTCAAGAAAATAACAAGAAATATATATATAAGTGTAAGGTGGTTGAAAAATTCTCGAGCCTAACATACGAGGGTGAAATGTAACATTTTTTTAATTTTATGATTACCACATTGTAACCCCTCCCTCTCTCCACTCATAAAATTTGTGTAGTATTAATATTTAAAATTAAAATTCGTATTTTTTCTTCTTGAACACTTGATTCTTCTCGTTGTTAAATGTTAAATATTTGAAATGACAAAAATGATGAATAAAACAAAATTCTAACTCCAATTATTAATTAATATTAACGAATCAAAGTAAGCAAAAGAAAAAAAGGAAATCGTCATTTTTAACGATTTAAAAAAAATTTCGATGAAAAAATTTCCGAGATGAATTTCGTTATAACGAAAAAGCTCCATGTTAAAAAACGAATATTGAAAAAAAGAAAAAAAAAAAAAAAAAAAGAATAAGTAAGAAACCGTATCGACGTCGCGTTGCAGCAGTTAACCAGTCGATATTTCATAAACAATATTTGTATGAAAAAGAAAGAAAAAAAAAAACAAAAGAAAAAAGAAAGATTGATCCATCGATCGACCTATCGCATCGCGTGGGTATAACATTCTTTGTTATTTTACCCTGGTGTGAAAGATAAAAGGACCCCGAAGTCGCGCAAACAAAAAAGGAAAATAGCATTAATCGATTTCACTTTAAGCTGACGTTTTACGTAAATACACACATACACATATATACAAAGTTATACATATATACGTGCAACACACGTTTGTACGTATATACGTGCACACGAAATTTACATACATCATAGAGAACAAATTAACAGGTCTTGAAAATCGTTCGGGTGATATTGGTTTTGGTTTTTAAATTGTTTATACGAGTATCACAACCATAATTGTTGAACTGTATTTAAATATACAAATGTCGTGTCGATATATTTTGTTATTAATTTTCATTCAATTATGTGATTGATATTTCAAAAAAAATAAATTTTTTTCGCAAATGTAACAATAATTATCTTATCACATACGTTACTTTAACAAATTATTTAATTAATTATTACTTAAATAATTATTTAATCGTATTATATTTACGAATGTCATTTTATTAATAAAAAAAAAAAATATATAAATAAACAAATGGATTGATCACGAAGAAATGATAGAATATACATTTAGTACAAATCATACAGATCAATTGAGGATAAAAATATCTGAAAGATTAGTTAGAAATCGGTCATCGTGATTACGTCAATATTATCTTAAATAATCTTGAAATACATAGGATTCGCTTTGTCGAATACTTCCGTGTTTTTCTTATCAGAGAAATTCGATCTGACGTGATCGAACGTTGGTTTGTTCTTTATTCGTCTGGAATAATTTAACATTACTATTTTTATTATTATCGGTGATGGGTGAAAAGATAATTTAGATACACATATATATGTATATATATATGTGTATGTGCACATATATATGCAGTATTATCAAGGATTTATTTTTAACTTACTTGACAAATCTTAACGAGATCTTAATTGGCTCATTAGACGTTTCATTTTTAATTTATTTTCCTTTTCTTTTTCCTTTTTCATTTTCATTTCATTTCCTTTTGTTTGATTCTTTTTATTCTCTCTTTTTTTTCTATTTTTTTTTTCTATTACTACCGTACTTCCTTTATTTCCGATAATATTAACGGAGGTCATTATTACAAATGTTCGTAACTTTTAACAAACGTTTATCTCGTTTTATGGTTTTTTTTTTATACCTCTTCCACACACCCCCTCCCCCTCTCCCCCCCG